CTGCGCCACCAGGGAGGGCCAATATTTAATTTTTGATTATATTTTTAAGGCAGAATATATACAATCAAATCATAAAAATCATGAATTTTTTAATGCTACACACTGTTGAAAACAGTGGTTTGTACATAAAAAAGAAAAATTGACTAACTTCAAAGATTTATTTATTTACGCATATAAGAACTGGGGTACAGGGTGTGAGAAAATTCACCAGAGACAGAGTGGGGAGCAGAACAGGCTGACTTGACTGATGAAATAAACTGCTGAGGGGAATAGCAGGTGGAACAGGAGAGGTCTGCCGCGCCAGGTGGGTCAGCTCCCTGGGTGGGGAAGCACTGGTGCTGCAGTGGCTGTGGGATTTTCATTTTACCTCATTGGCGATAACGGAACTAAGTAAATTTTAAAATTTGATATTAAGAAATAGCTCTGATTCATGTATTACAAAAATTAGTTTCCTAAAATTAATGCTGCTGTATCTCTTGTTTGGTTTTACAAACTATAATTTACTGAAGTTTCATGACCTATATGTGGGCTTGTTAGCACATGTTTGGATTACTTGACAGAGGCCTGTAGAACTACTTGCATAATAAAGAACTACCACTGCAAATCCTTTCTATTCAAAGACCTGAAGATAAATGACTTCATAATACATGCATCTTTTCAGGATAATAAAGTGTCATTTTACCAAAATCTTTCTCTCTGATTATAATTATTTATAGATGAATAAATTGTGGAAGAGTTGTGAGGTTGAGTTTAATTATGTGTGAACTGATGAAGTATCCATAAAGCAAAGGTAGTTAGTACCCTCAGTGGAGTCATGGTTTCAACTGTGAGCATGAATTAGAATTTTCTCTACTTGAGGGTATTCAGGTAATCATAGAGTGGACTGAAAGGTTTCTTTGTTGGTTAAAATCTGGAGTTCATTCATTATTCATTTGGGGGAATAAGTAGAATGGTTCACAAATGTATTTTTACTTTGTTAGCTTTGGTCAGATATTGATATTCTAGTTAACAATGTGGTTGAAAACAAGGTCATCACTAGACTCCACTTTGTATCTAGAATTCACTTCTGTTAACAAAGACTACAATCTAGTGACTCACTTCAACAGAAATTGTGTGATCAGAAGTAGATGTCATAATTATATGTTTCATGATGTAAGTTAGGTAGTCACAGTATGCACAGTTATACTAAAGTCCCTATAAACCCCAGACTGAACTGTGACATACATCTGAAGTGTTAGGACAGATGAAGGGAATTAGTTTGGTTTAATGTTGACCATAGTAGTTGAGAGGCTGAATCTTGGTCAGCGGCTACAGAGGAGGTGAAGGGAGCAGGAGGGGGTGCCAGTTTCCTGAGCAGAGCAAGCTGGTACAGATGGACCTGAGACTTCTTTGATCTCTCCAGGCACTTGTATTAGGTAGCTAAGATGGGCAGGTTGGCTGTCAAAGTTGATGATGAGTGAGTACACTGCTGCATTTACACTAAATCCTATTTTCCACTGAAGAGCTAGAGGAGGGCCTTCCTACTCCTGTCAGAGCTTTCTCCATTCCAAAAGGGTGTGGCATGGGTGACTGTCTCCCGCCCCCCCCCCCCACTCCAGGGCATTGGAGTCCTGTTGCACTGAGGAAGAGGGTGCTGAATAGGCAGCATTACCATAACCATTACCAGGTTGTTTACTACAACAGAGAACCTTGTTTACAAGTTAACCTATGATCAGCTGAAAGACAAAATCACTAGTAGGTGGAGATTTACACAAACCTGCTGCATGGCTGTTTTGGTCTTTTCCTCTGTTAATTCTCATAAACATTTTTTCAAATAAAAATTTTCTTTAAGGAATACCCCCTTTTATTCTTGGTTTTCACTTTAGTTTCTGTTAGTATATCTTAGGGGTCCTAGTACAGGAAAGTGAACATTCTTTTGGGGGTGTGGTTACATAGGATTTTGTCTTCTTTTGGGCCACTGAGCATCTCTGTGACATTGGGGAGGTCACCTAGCCATACCTTTTGGGACCCAAATTAACCCTACAGTTCCTCCTGGATCTACAAGTCCTCTTGTATTTGGCCCTGTGTTAATCACTATTAACAGGTTGATATACTCAGAGTAGGAATCTCTGGACTTTACATTTGAGATTTTATATTATTAAAAAATATTTTTAATTTAATCTAAATAAAGTAAATTTTTTTAAAAATAGAAAGCGAGGAAAGGTAAAAAACAAAATTAATTAAAATTTTAGACCTCAACTATAATATTGACATCTACCATCTCTTTAGCTGAAACACTCATTTCAGGTTGACCAGATTATTTTTCACTTATTTCTATTCATTCAGTGGTATTTTTTGAGGGCCTGTCCTATGTGAGAATGCCTGTGAGGGTATTCTGGCATACAGATTGGCATAACTTTCGATTTCTTCTCTGGTCTTATAAAAATAGGGGGCATTGGTAAATAAACACTGTGCACGCAGTGAGTGGCATAGGTGGTGGTGTGTGATTCAGAAGATCTCAAGCTGAGAGCTTCAGGGGAATGCTTCTTTCAGAAGTTGACATGTGAGTAGGCTTTGAAGGTTAGTGTGTTGTAGACACATGGAGAGAAGAGAGATTTTAACAAAGGCAGAAAATATACACCGGAACTTTGAACTGTGTGGTTCTCAGCAATTGATGAAAAGGACAGGCACCTTGAAGGTGACTGCCAGCCTGATTTGACAGGATTCGTGGGCTGACAGCTGAGTTCTGGTTGCTGGAGTGGACTTTGTTTTGTGAGGTGGCTTGGAAGATGGTGTTAGAACTGGTGACACTTTGAGAAAAGTAAGGAGACACTGAGTTAGGGTATAACAGCTGCCCTAACCCTGTTTCTTCACCTCCAAAAATGTGTTCTTTGGCAGACAGGGTCAGATAATAGTAATTGGGTAAGAGCTCATGTTGTTATCAGTTGAAAGGAAACTGAGAAAGGGAAGCTTTATATGAGTCATACAGATGTTGTCATGTGTTAAAAGCCTCAAGAGGGTAGGGGATTATCCATTGGTTTTGGTGGTTGTTGGGTTTTTGTTATTGTTTTGTCATGCAGTTGTTGTTTTGCATGGATCATAAATGTGTACAAAAGGAAATTAAAGTTTAATGGAGTTTTTAGTTTTCTTAATTATTATTTATTATTTAGGAGAACATCAGAGAAAATAAAAAATGGAGTTTGGAAAGGAACCTGGAAGATGTAAACAGATCAGTGATAGAAGTAGTATTAGAATACAGTTGTTGGGCTATATTTTAATTGCTATAACCATCTAAAACATTTGATCTTTTTAGCTTGGTTACTTGTGTTGAGGATTTATCTGGAAATTACTAACTTGCTAATCAGGACGTATCATATAGTAAAAAAGGAAAATTTCAACCATGAGGTGATTGAATTTATAAATATCTTGAATTTTTTGTGTTCACCAGCCTCAAGAAGTCTTTGTAACACAAGCATCATAATTTTTTTAAAGACTTAAATTTCAGATTAATCTATTTTAATGTATATAGTCCAGAAAGTGATAATTTTATTTAGTTTTAGTATTCTTTAGTAAAAACAATGCAGTGGGGTAACTTTAGGATAAATTTGTTAACTGATAGCAAATTTAAACACTAAAATCTCAGTGAGGTATGCTTCAAAGTGAACCACAACACTTATGGGTTCAGGGCATGGAGTTGGGAATGAGTTTTATCAATCATTAACTTATAATAAATGACAAATTTTAATAGCTACCTGGAGAAAAACTGGACACCTTTATCAACTGGTTTCTTCTTGGGAGAAATGGGTTGCAATCAAAAATATTACTGACTGCTATTCCTTTATGAGTGGGGCGCTTTTTACGCTCAATTTAGTCATATTCTTTCCTTGTAAAATGTTTTTCAAAGCTGTATTTCTGGTATGGAACAAGCTTTCTGTATCATTAAATCCCTTTAAACAGATAGCATCTGTTTGTCTTTGTTATGGAGATTGTTGAAAGATCAAGTCTAGCTTCTAGTGCTTATCACTAAATGTCTCTTTAACTAGTTATCAGATACACAGTGGGAAGCTTGGAGCAAATTAGGAGGAATGAAGGGAAATGGGCCTTCTAGTGAAAGTCCTTCTAATGAATCAAGAAAACTACCACAGTGACATCAGCCTGGTGCCTAATCACTTGTCCATGGTTCTGCCATGACAAGGAGTCTCTCTGCAGTGTTGGTTTGAGAGCAGGGGACATGGAATGTCACATGGAAGCCTTTCCTCTGGTAAGTTAAAAAAAGATGCCGCCCACCATCTTGTTAAGGGAGTTAAATGTCTTTGGTTAATATCCTAAGGCCCCTTATTGCCCTGGAGAATTACTTTTAAAAAATGAGTAAATATGTGTGCTTATACCCACACCCCACAATGTACCTGTTTGGTTCATTTTTGTTATATTAAGAGCTTTTTTATATAAAGAGCTATTTTATTCCGTAGTGTTGCTGTGGTTTCAAACATATTTCAGGCTGTCTTTTAGATCTATCCTTGGAGCCTGTAATATACTCATAATGAGCCTAGTAGTTGTGAATTTTAGTTCTTTGGATGATGAACTTGATTTTGTGGAGGAGCCAAAAGCTGTTTAGGGTGAAGTAAAGAGAGGAGTAAGATGGGTGCAAGCTAGGTAGCACCATTTTGGGTTCAGAATCAGGTATAAATCTAAAGTCAGGAAATATTTCCTTCTCTCATGCAAAAATCTGCCTCCAGACAAAGAATTTAAGATTAATCTTAAGCAAGAGCAGCATTCTTGGAGTAAGGTGTAGTTTTCCATTTAGACACTAGGAAGGATATGAACGTTCAACTTCTGAGATGTAAATAAAGCAAAACAATCAGGATATCCATTCTCAGTGCCTCAGCACCTTCCCTTGGGGCTATTGTAAAGATGAAATCAGATGCCGCCTGTAAGCCCCAAGCCCCTGTGTTTGACCATGATAATTGCCCTCAGTAATTGTGAGCTGTGTCTCAGCATCTCAGCTTTATAATGGTACCTAAAGGTCAAGAGAGTTTGTAACAGAAGTTATAAAAATTCACAAAGCATGGAAGCGGTTAGGTGCCTGGGGTTATGCAGCAGCTGGTAGTATTTCCTGAAGGATACATTTAGGGCAGACATTATAGTTGGTTCTAATGGATATAACTTTGCTAACAACTAAAAGACTATTTGCTGAAAGTCAGTGATTGAGCTAACCTGGTATAAAATTTAATTTCAAAATACCATTCTAAGCTTCTCATTGCTCATCTAGGGATATAAAGATTTTTATGAAGTCAGAGAAGCCATTATGTTTGATACCAGCTTTTAAAGTGTGACATAGTATTTCAAGATAGTATAAGCTTGTTGGATTTACAATTTATGGACATTTCATAGCAGAAAATCTAATTGATTTTTTTGCATATTGAGTATCTTTAATGCCTTCTACTTTTTGAGGGAAAAGGTTTCCTTGAGAATTTTGAGAATTTTATTATTAAAGTGGTGAATATCTAATAATCTCTGATTTGAAAAGGAGAATTCAAAACCATTTATTGCTGTTTTCTCCTGCTCATTATTATACATGTTTTATGGCATACAATTTAGTGTTGTAATTATAAGAAAAGATAAGTCTTTTTAGTTTTATAGCTATCTTGATTAATTTTACTAAGTTCTTTTCTCACTAAAATAGTTTCAAATTTAGTTAAACATTTACAAATTATTTTAGGGTTGCTTCTAGCTTTTCCACAGAGAGACAGATGTCACATGATTTGGAGAGACAGATGTCACATGATTTGGTTGCTGTTGGCAGGAAAAGTGAGAACTTTCATCCTGTGTTTGAACATCTTGACTCAACTCAGAATACTGAAAACAAAACTACAGGAGAATTTGCTCAGGAAATCATAACTATAATCCATCAAGTTAAAGGTTGGTATATTTTGCACATACATTAGGGATAACACAAAAATAATGTACTGACTTTTCATGAGACATAGGTAATTAACATTTCATGTGTATAGTAATTAATATTTCATTGTAAGTTAGATCATTAATTAGGAAGCTTGTGAAAGAGAATATCAGGTATTAGTCAGACGTAATTGTTCTGTATTTGTAGTTCTAATAACCTGATGCTTCAACTTTTAGTAGTTTAGAAATTGAAAAGAAAGGGAGAGGTTGGCTGCTGCAAAAGACAGGCATACTGAGAACAGCAAGAAACAATAAGTGATGGCCAAATGGACAGTAGGAAGCAACAAAAAAATGGTAAGAAACTTAAGAAATGTGTAAATCTAGGTTGTTTGGTGATAATCTTAAAACCCCGGAGGGCATTGCTGGGACTTTGTGCCATAAGGATAATGCTAAATGATCAATAAAAGAGCCCAGTTTAACTTAGCATGCTTTGTGACATCCGGGAATTACTTAATAAATATTTTAAGGATTTGCATTAAATTCTTATCTTTTTTTTTTCTTGTGGCCAATGTTCATTAATTAGAAAGTTTAGTCGTGTTGAGCAGCTTTCTGCATTAATGCTATATAAATAAAGTACTTAATTACTGGGTATTATAAATTGGAGACTTTCAAGATTTTCAGTTTTTTTATTTGCTGTTTTTAACTAGATACTTACATTTATCTTTTTGCCTTCTTAAGGCATATTTTGAAAAGTGAATTATTTTTTCTGCATTTTTCAAACTAAAACATATCTTTACTTTAAAGCATATAATTTGCAGTATTTGCGGCCCATCACCCAAAGAAAGTATGATTCTTGGCAGAAAGGAAGCTAGTATTACAGAAGAATCCAGGAAATTGTTCTAGAAAAGGAGCAGTAAGTTAGAGAAAAGGATTGCTTAATTAGTATTCTGATGTATCATGTGTATTCTTTCCTTCTATCCTATTGAAAATCTGTAACATAACTGATCTTAGAATATCTTCATGAACTTCAGTTAATGTTAAAATAAAATGGCACCGGGAAGCCTTCTGGTATGTAAATATAACATCTAGCATTGGCTCAGAATTGTCTGATGTTTCAGAGTTGGTTTTGGAGTTCTGGGTGCTGGGCCATCTTTACTTCCTACATATATAGTAAGGTCTTACCTTGGAGAAGAAAGTTTCTCACTTTGAGAGAGTCACTGTCTTTTCCCCTGACAAGTAAGGAGGCACTCAAATAGAAACAGAATCTTTGGATTGATAAATCAAGTGGTTTTCTGTTTGGCTGTTTTTTGTTGTTTTGGTTTTTTTTCTACTGCTCTGACTTGAAAAGCGCATGAGCAATCTGAATTCTGTGGATTAAATTAATGCTCATTTTTTTCAAGGGCAAATAGGTTGGATGTTTTTTAATGGTTCCTTCTTCTGTGTTTATATGTAGTCTTTTAAATAGAATCAGTTTTATACTGAGATAAAACTATTTTTCTTTTTTCAGCAAATTTTTTCCCATCACCTGGCATTACTCTACATGAGCGTTTCTCAAAAAGGAAAGATACACAAGATGCAGATGTAAATGAAATTAAATTGAATTCAGATCCAGAAATTCACAGGTAATGATTATTTATACCTGCATAACTCATTGGAATAAACATTGGCACATGTGGGAAGATACTGCCTTCTGTGCTTATCTGAGCTTGCTATAGACTCTGGGACAGCACTTCCTACCTGAACGTGGGACTGACCCAACAGGTACTAGGCCAGTGTACTTTGATGACTAGGTCGTAGTAAAGCCATTGACTAGCACTGTCGGAATGTATAGGACTTGGAAAACATCTGCTTACATGTATTTGATTCTGCTGTGTCTGTAATAATCACCTACTGAAGTTATCACTGGAAGAATGAAAAACAGTTGCCAAGCCACTGAAATCATGTTGCTTCATGTGGTCAGGGATAGCTGTTCTGGAGGCAGCTGGGTGAACCCCTGTGTCATCGTCTACTGGCACCTGTCCCTGTCCAAGTAGGTGGTGTGCCCTGTCTTTTGAACTGAGTTGAATCAATGTTAGAATGTACTAGATCACCACAGCAGTTACACAGACTAGTGATGTGAGAACCACAAAGTTGTCACTGTGACGTTCACTGAAGATGTATGTCCTAGGAGGCTGCCTTGTAGATGAAAACCACCTGGAAGCAAGTTTCATTTGCTTCTTCTAAGACAAACCAGCTTCATTTCAAATTCTGTTCTGTAGTAATGGAATCAAGGCATCCGTGTGTAACAATTGTTTAATTGTGTCATGTCTTTTATTTTAGGAGAATAGATATGTCTTTGACTGAGCTTCAGAGGAAACAGAGTATGGTATGTGACTCAGAAGAGGTAAGTGAATGCAGATTTTGATGAGAGATTATCTTATTGTTGGTATACTAATGGGAAGGGGAACTGATGATGGGGGTGGGGAAGGGAATTAAAGTGTGTGAGGAAGAACAACTGAGACACAAAAATCCAAAATTGACAAATCCTATCCCAGCTGATTCTAAGTATCAGCCAGGTTGAAGATAACATTGACAAAAAACAAATATATTCCCTAAGAGAGAAAATCCCTAATAATTGCTTTATAAAACTGACACAAAACTCTTGCCTTTAATATTCATTCCAAAACTTCACACTGTAAAGCTTGTAGAAATTAACGTTTGATGCCATATGGTATATACATATTTTTAATTGTATGTGGAATGAATGTAGAGAAACTGAGTTTCATATGATATTGCCCTTCTGATTACTGTTGAATGTATGAAAGTGAGTATTTATTGTCATGTGTTGTATTGGTAATTTCCATGCACCTCTGTACCCCGCCTACCACTTCCTTGCAAATTAGAAAAACTATCTGGACTAACCAGGGGAAAGAAAATTAGCTCTTGTTTTAGAAGAAGTATATCAAGTTCTAAAAGAACAACTTGCGTATTCTTTGAGCATGAAGACTTTTTTTAAAGAGAAACTTAGTATATTTCTGATAGAATATATAATTTTTTTGCTTTTGAATGGTTATAGTTCTTATTGAACATATAAAGATAGGTTAGTTTATTAAATTATATTTTCAGAAAATGTTTTATCAAAGTCTTGTAATTAGCTTACAGGAATTTGACGATTTTTAAAGAATTGCCTCTATTTCAGCCATTTAACACAAAATATTATTTGATTGTATTTTATTGCAGTTTTGGGTACCTTATTTCTTTTTACTTAAACCCTAATAACATTCCTTTTTAAAATTTTTTAAAATATATATATAGATATTTACAAACATCCCTTTTATGTAAAATCTTGATCCCTCTTTATTATTAAGGCTTTTAATGTTTTAATTGACTTTTTCCAATAAATTTTTCCATTTTGACTTCCACAGCCTATATTACCATAACTTAAATACATGCATATTATTTCTTTCACTTTTTTACCATAAAATCATGCGTTCCCCTTAATTTTTATTTTGCACTTGAGTGCTTCCACCTCTTTATTATTTGAAATATAACACTTTGAATATAATTGGGTAGATAGAAGCCAAGAAGTAGAATTCCTGGTTCAAAGTTATGAATGAACTTTTCTGAGTGTGTAGATGTGTCTCTACACAACATAAACATTTTAATGTTTTTTTTCTTTCACTAACAGGACGAGTACAAGATCACTTATTTTGGCTTTTTATAAGGTTTTTGTTAGATATAGTTTTTGTGCAACTAACACTAATGTGAATAGTTTGTCTTCTGTCAAAATTCCTTAGTCTCTAGTCAAAATAATAGATCCAAATGACCTACGACATGACATTGAGAGGAGGAGAAAGGAGCGGCTACAGAATGATGATGAGCACATTTTTCACATAGCTGGTGCTGCAGAGAGGTAATCATAGATGAAAAACATTCTGTTATCAGCATTTGTTTGGGAAGAAGAGTCCAAAGTATCAGGAAATGGTAATCTCAGTCTGAATGCATTATGATTCCAATATCCTCTGTCCTATCTATTCCTTTGGAAAGTTCTTCATTCAACAATTATGAATTGAGCTAAAGCAGAGGGGATACAGTTTTGAGCGAGTACAGACATAGACTGCATACAGCTTTTTAAGGGAAAAAATTGACACAGTTGGTAAAGCACTTATAGCCTATGATTTATGATTTCATTTCTCCTGAATTTGTGTGGGAATCTATAAACAGACCTTGCTAAGAAGATTTGTGCAAAATACTAATGGTCAATTTTAATTAACTGAATTTATAAGATAAAGGGATAAATTATTTTCTTATTTTGACAAGGAAATTGAATTTGGATAAAGTGAGATTAAAGTTTCAATAGTTTGAAGGCTGAATTATATTCCATTGTATGGATATGCCACATTTTGTTTATTTTTCTGTAGATGGACATCTAGGTTGTTTCCATCTTTTGTCTCTTGTGAATAACCCTGTTATGAACATTGGTGCTGTTGTATTTTTTTCTTTTTAATATAGTCATGCTAGTGGGCATAACATAGCATCCCATTGTGTCTTGGATTGGCGTTTCCCTCGTCACTAGTGATGCTTGGTATCTTGTCATATGCTTTTTCTGTGTTCTTTGCATAAATATCTATTCAGATATTTTGGCCATGTTTTAATTGACTTACTGTCTTTTTACTATTAAGATGTAGGACTATATATTCCGGATATTATTCCTTATCAGATAGATGCCTTTGCAGAGAGGAATTTTTTAAAGATTCATTGTTTTGTTTATAGAAATAGTTGTACATACTAATGGTAAATATTTGGAGAAATAGAATAAAGAATAAATTAAAAAATAAGGGCGTTCTTTTCTTTTTAAAGATTTATTTTTTATTGATGCATACAGACCTGGGGTATAGACCAGAGGTGCAGGGGTGGTGAAAGGCTTCACCGGAGACAGAGTGGGGAGCAGAACAGGCAGATGGACGAAGTACACTGCTGAGGGGAGCAGCGGGCAGGTCAGGAGAGGTCTGCCGTGCCATGTAGTCACCTCCAGGCCAGGGATCAAACTTGCATGGAAGCGGCTGCAGCTAGCTTGCAGTGCTGCTGGCTTATAGTGCTGTGTCCTGACCAGCTACACCACCAGGAAGGGCCAAAAAATAGGGGCATTCTTAATTTCATTAGTCAGAGATGATCACAGTTAATATTTAGTACATTTCCTGTTATTTTTTCTGGGTTTGTGTGTGTGTGTATATATATATATATATGTATATATATATATATATATATATGTCTATTTTAAGTAATTGAACTTGTACTCAGATAGGGCTCTTTACCTTACTCTTTGGATTTTTATCATAAACATTTTGACAGCCTACGGGTTTTTTGTTTTTTTTTTGTTTTTGTTTTTGTTTTTTCATTTCAAAACACCCTCTGAGTAGCTATTTCATGTCCCTGTCTAGGGGTTGGTTCTAGAGCCCTGGAAGGAACTGTCCTCAGCGCCTGCTCTGAAGGATCGCACCTTGTAGCTTAGGCAGACAGGTGTGTCTGCAATTGCTGTTACAAGTGGCACCTGTCAAACCAAAATGCTGGGTTTGTATATTACATGGTTACCTAGTTCACCTGAGTGGGGACTTGGAAAGCCTTCCTGGAGATATGCACACAAGCTAGAACTTCAAGTGGACTAAGTTAAAGGAAATTACAGTGGAAGGAACTGTATGTGCAGACGTGTGGGAGCAGGAGAGATTGTGACTTGTGCCAGGAACTGTACATAGCTAAATGTTCCTGAAGCTCAGTGTGCTTACTTGGGAGATTTTTTTTTTAATTTTATAATAGTTTATTTTTACATGTTTTTGTGCATTTTTCCATCTCAGTTGCAACCCCCTTGGGTTTCCCATCACCAGTCATCCATGTGCCATCACCATAGTCCAGTGCATTTCCCTCCCCCCACTGTTTTTGATCCTGTTCCCCACTCCACCCCTACAAATTGTCTCTGGTATATAGCCGTTCATCATTATCACTATTTTCTCAACTGTTCCATTATACTCCTGTTATGAGAGAAACCATCTGGTATTTTTCCTGTTCTTTCTGGCTTATCTCACTAAGCATGATCTTTTCCAGCTCCATCCATGTTGCTGCAAAAGACATGTGTTTCTTTTTCTTGGTTGCTGAGTAATATTCCATTGTGTATATGTACCACATCTTTTTAATCCAGTCATCCATTTTTGGGCATTTGGGCTGTTTCCATGTCTTTCCAATTGTGAATGAAGCAGCAATAAACGTGGGGGTGCAGGTGTCTTTTTGAACCAGTGTTTTTGTGTCTTTTGGGTAGATACCTAGGAGTGGGATTGCTGGGTTGTAAGGAAGCTCGATGTTTAGCAGCTTTCCATAGTGGTTGTACTAGTTTGCATTCCCACCAACAGTGCAGAAGAGTTCCTTTTTCTCCACATCCTCGCCAACATTTGTTGTTGCTAGTTGTTTGAAGATGTGCCATTCTCACTGGGGTGAGGTGGTATCTCATTGTGGTTTTAATTTGCATCTCCCTTATTACAAGTGATGTTGAACATTTTTTCATATGCTTGTTGGCCATTGGCTTGGGACATTTTTATAAAGTTTTGTTATGCCAGTGAGGCAGTAATGGTTGCAGCACAAAGCACCATGGGGGACCTAATAAGAAATAGGGATTTTTCTGTCATTGGAGGACTTGTGGGAGGGACTGAAGCTGGGTCACGGTAGTGAGCAGTTTGTTCATCAGAGAGCATGAGGGGGTCTGAGGACCATCACGGGGAGATATGTGGTATGTGACAGGGAGAAGACTCCCCAAGGACTATGAAAAAGAGGCCCCAGAGTTCAGAGGTTCAAGGCAGGACCTCCTTCCCTGAAGCCCATTGTGGCCTCCTGACCTGGGATGACAGGAGAGAGAACTGTCTTCTGCTACTGTGCCCCCAGCAGTTATCAGAGGCCCCTCTGCCAGAGACAGGGTCTGAACTACTCACACACTTGTCTCTGCTGCTTTCACCTATAAAAACCTGTTGGCAAGGGGGTCTGGTGCAGCTAAAAGCTTGAGGGCAGTGAGTATCCTCTCAGACTGAGTATCCTCTGAATGGTCCAGAAAGCCTGTCTGTGAACCCAGATTGAAAACTATGGTCCAAGGAATACTGTTTTCCCTTTACTGCTAACTTCTAATCTAGCTAAATAATGTTTGTTGTAGAATGAAGGCTTTAGCCTTGATAGTAATTTTGGTAATGACAGCATTGCTGTATTGTTTTTCTTAACTGTTGTGTGTGCTTTAATTCTCTCTGAAGGGGCTATTTGGATTTTTCTTGTTTATTTGTTGTATTAAACTAATAAAAGATTATGTTCTCTTTTATTAGGAATGAACAACATTCCAGTTTTTCAAGCTTGAAGAATACTCATGATGATGGATTCCAAAAACCTACACATTTTATAAAATCAAATTTTAGAAAATTTATTCATAAACCTCAAGCAGTAAGACTTCAGTTCCAAGTTTTTCATTTTTATGAATTCCTTTCTCCTTCTCACTTACATCTCTCTGTACAGGGATCACCAATATTTTTCATAATATTTTTAACTATTCATTAAGTACCTGTTATAAGATTCTTTTACATTGTGACAGAAACAATGGTCACCTTTTGTTGGACTTAGCAGGATTTTACTGTATTTAATATGGTACTAGCTTTCTTAAGATTTTGGGGGGCTAGTTTTATTAAGGCATAATTTATGTGCCATAATATTAATCCATTGTAGATGAGCAATTTAATGATTTTATGTAATTTTACCTAGATGTGTAACTGAGAACTGAATTATGGCCATAATTCACAGTAGAGCACCTAAGCCTGTTTAGTTATTCCCTGTTCCTACACCTAGCTAGCCACTACTCCACTTTCTGTTTCTAAAGATTTGCCTTTTCACGGAGCAGTTCACCAAATGGCCACTGGCTTCCAGAAGCGCCAACAAGTAATGGCTAGAAAGACAGAAACTAGATCCTTTTGTCACTTAACTGGAGAAGTGACATCACATCCTTTCTACCATAGTTTGTAAGAAGCAATTCGCAAGGTCCAGCCTACATTCAAAGGAGGGGATGCCATAGGGGCTGGATACCAGATGGTGGGATCGTTGGGAGCCTGGTCAAGAGTTTCCTGGTACAGCTCTCCTCAGACCTCCAAATGATTCATATCCTATTGCATGCAAAATACATGCCTTCCCTCCTGAGATCCGCCAAAACCTCATCTCATTAACATATATCTTTATGGGCTTGCACAAATTTATAGACTTAATGTAAATTTAAGGTATCTGCTATGAAAAGGCTATGGCAGTATACTGGGAAGAAAGATAAAGATGTGAAAGAGGAAGCTTTGTGGAAAGTAGACTCCACAGCAAATGGATTAAATAGAAGGTTGTAAGACTGTTGATGGTAGAAAAAATAAACCATCTTCAGAATGGGTCCCTTTCTGGAACTTGTGGGCATAGTGTACTAGTCTCCTTTCAAGTTAGACAAGAGCAGGAGGCTTGATGGACCTGGGGTAATAGTTATACATCCTGAGGTATGACTGGGAATGTCCAGGGGCCTGGAGACTGATGTGCTTTGTGCCTGAGGACTAGTCAGTGGAACACCTTGCTAATAAGATTGGGAGGTCAGAGGTCGCGCGCCCTCCCTAAAGCCCTAAACCCAGCATTCAATTTGACCACCCTTTTCTCTGTCAGTCAGAAGGCCAGGATCTTGCTCTTGAGCAGCACCCTGCATCCTACAGCCTGGTCCATAACTCCCATTTCTTTATCAGTGCAGTGTTGCTGATGCAACTGAAACCAAAGGATTCTGGTTCTTTTTAGTTTATAGTCTTAATAGACTGACTTATTACACTTTCCTGGTCATGGCAAATCAGTTATCTGAGTCAGAAAACTTGCCACCCCATGCAGTATTGAAAATTTGTTTTCTTCTCAAATAGTGGGAACTCTTTAGCGACTCCAGATAATAATAGGTTGATTTCTCTTTTGCTTGCTTAAATAAATACAAGATTTATGGTACATTTTCTAAAAGTTACCCATGGTGTTACTCAAGACTATTGTTTTTACATCTAATATTTGTGAATTAAACTAGCCCATCAAAGCTATCCTGGGAAGATATGTGTGTGTTAACACTAGTGAAGCTACATGCTACCTGTTTTGTGTTCTTTATCCTATACATTTTAAAATGTATGTTTGTAATGGAAAAATGAACTTTTCAAAATAAACTTTAAAGTATGTTAACCCATACTATGCTTTTTTCATGCAGAATTATCCTACTATGCAGAGAAAAGACACCATTCCTTACAAACCATTTGGAGTTGGGGGAAACTATCAAAACACAAGAGGCTTTAGGAAGCCTGTTAAGGTACTATATGTCACTTTCCATTTATTTCCAGCTTTGGGTTTATACTTTGAATATAACTTAGAAGTTTTGGTAAATTAGAAATTTTGTGATTTTTCAAATATCTATAAACTAGTATTTCTGGGCATTTACACTTAGCTGTCATCAGTTTAATTATGATCCCTTCCTTTTGAATGTTTCCAATAATTTTTACCAGTGGAGCCCCTTTTCACAGATTACATGGAAATACAGACATACAAAACAAAACAGGATAATTGGCTCTAGGTGGAGATGTGGGCAAAACCCCCAATCCTTCCTTTAAACCTACCCCATTACCTCTAAGCTTTAAGTTCAGAGCTATAGAATTTTTTTAAAAACCTGTCCATAGACATGAACCCTTCAGAGGACTCATGGATCATCAGAGAATGCTTCTGGTCTAGCCAGTTTTCTTAAAGTATGTTTCATTATAGTCTAGTTTGTACAGCTGTGTCTGATGTGATAATTTTATGTCAACTAACGTGTTTGATTACCCAGAACACCTTGTTTCCCAAACATAAGGAATAAGAATTAAAGTACAAAAAATACTGGATTTCTCTCTCCTGGCTCTCAGAAGTTAAGGTGCTTTAAAAATCCATTTTGACTGAATTTCTTGCTTGTGATAAGAATTTTGTTCATATTCTTCACTCTACCATGTCTCTTTCCTCCACTTCCCAAAAGAAAAGAATTTGGGTGTGTGTGTGAGGGAGCGAGGGGGAGAGAAAAGTAGCAATAGTAGTAGTTAGCCGACTACATAGGATAGTTTGCCTGTTAATATGAGCAGAAAGGTAGTATACATTATCCTCAAACCAGAGACTGAGTAGTTGAGTGATCTTTTGTTAATATCTGACTTCTTGAGAGTCAGAATTTCTAGATGTAGAAAGATATTTTTCCCCTTAGGAATGATAGCATTTATAGGCATCTCATAAGTAACATTTTTAATTAATAGTTCATGTACTTGAAAACATGTGTGGCATTAGTTTTTCTATGGCATAGACTATAAAAATGTGTTTTAGACCATCTCAATCTCTTGAGTAATGATACATGAAATTAGCTAAAAATGTGATACCTGCATTAGAGACGGTATAGATGAATTTTCAGATGAAAATGCTTCTTGTACCTATACTTCTCTTTTCGTTAGTCAAATAGTTGATTGCAGTTGATTTCTAAGATTGTTTTAAGTTCTACTTCTTGTTACTTCTTCTCCTTAGGAGGAAATTTTTAGGCATTAATTATAAACATGTTTTTAAAATATAAGCAATAATTTTTCCTCTTATCAATCATCTAAAGCTTTGAATTGTTATATGATTATTTAGAAGTTCATAATTATTTATAGCAAAATAGGGGGTAGAAATAATCCTTCCCAAAAAAAGAGAGCTATTTTATTTAAAAAAAAAAAAGGTTTTTTTTATTTAACTTGGCCTAGTTTAAAGCCAGGTAGGAATCAATTTATTAGAAATGTAAAAATGAACTTTGTAAATCTGAAGGTTAGCTCTGATGTATTGTTCATACAGATAATCTTAACAGAATGACAGTATCTAATTATAATTCTGTTATACCTGAAATTTTATATAGCGCTAACAACGTAATTGTAAAATAGGCCTGGCATAATTACTTTTTAAGTTAACTTATGTGATTGATTATGCATGACACTCATTTTTAAATAATCGTGGAAAGAGGAATCTCCAGTAGTTTTAATAATTATGCCCTTGTAATATACCATTTGTACTTTTCCCACATGAGAAAAACAAAGACTCACTGTCCTCTTATATCTTTTAACACTTACAGACCAGGAAAGAGCTTTTTAAGTGTAAGTTTCATCTTGAAAATATTTGCTGTGAGAGAATTTTTATGGTAAAGAAAGATTGGCTCAAAAGTACTGACAAAAATCAGAGTTTTTGATTTTTAAACACATGTTGATACTCAATTCCTTACCCCCAGTTTGGTAACTGATATATTTCACTGTAAATCGGAGGGATAATTTCAAGTCACTACAAACTTGAAAGTTGTGTTTTTCTAGAGCACGATAAATTTCAAGAATTTTTATTTTTTTTAACTTAATAATTTAAGGAATTGGTTTTATGTAAAATGTTTTTAATTCTTATAAAGTTATTATTTATAAAATTAAGTTAGGAAGCTCATTTGAGGAAAATATACTTGATTACCATCATGACCTCTCCCCTTATAATACCTGGAACTAGGGACAGCTCTAGGTACGAGACATTTTTCCATTTCTTATACAAATAAAGTTGATTTAGAGCAATAGTTTTAACACTGAATTAATTTTTCCTTCACAGACCAACTTTAGAGGTGGCAAGTTCCAGTCCCATTTTAAATCAGATCTAGTACAGAAGAGCTTGTACATTCAGGCTAAATATCAGCGTTTCCGGTTCACTGGTCAGAAGGGATTTATCACTAATAAATTCAGAGAGAAATTATTGAGGAAGAAAAAGGTTAGTTTGATTATGATCATTTAAAATTGTTGAGTGACTTTTGAACTACTAAATTAGCCATGTTTAATAAATTAAGTTGGGTTTTTAATTTTGACTTAACAGCCTGGATTTAAAAAATGTTCTTACTGCATGATAGTTGAAGAAAAATGTCAAGGACTAATAGCAATAGAATTGTGGAACTATTTAGTCTTAAAATACTTTCAGCTGTTATATCTCAACTACTTTGCGCCAGCTTTTTGAACTTTTTACTTTTGAATTTCTGTTGTATGACTAATATTTGAAATGGAAATTCAGGTAAAGACTTTTAACTGATAAAATTTAGCCTTTTACAATGTGAATTACCTAATTACCAAAAAATATGGAATTGACTATGTAAAATGGGTACATAATTGTAAAATATACTAACCCTTCTTTTACCTCATGTGTTTCCTTTATTGTGATAAAATATATCTAATAAAAGAGATGCCTTTTTAGCCATTTTAAGTATATATTGACATTCACAATGCTGTGCAATCATCACTAGTATATGCTAACTCTTAATGTTAACTAATAAAAGTTTCTCTACTTTATAATTTGGATTTCATGCTTTTTTAGTTGTGGGTTATTTAACTTAAATTTGTCATGTTGGTACTTGAACATACATTATGAATATGATATAAGATTACTTTCTGCATTCTACACTTTAAGTGAGGGCATGTTTGTCAATTTCTTGACTCATTTTTGTTAATAATTTTGGGCTGATATTTCTTCTAAGAAATATATTTTGTGTTTAGTGTTGCTATCACGTGGTCCAACTGTGGTTTTATAAATTCTCTAGTCAAAAATGTTTCCTTAAATACTCATACTTGTGAAACCTTTACATTGAATTTGCAACTGGAGTTGACAACTGATTTTTTTTTTTCAATTTTAGCTTTTATTTACCCTTGACATACAGCTTCTATCCTTCTCACCCCCTAATTTTAACTGAGTACATTAAAAGAGGTTTCTAATTTTGCCATGTATGTCACTCTTGGCTTTATGAAAGCCATCTTTTCTTTAAAAATGAGAGCATAATTGGACTCATTTTCCCTGCTTGTATATCTCCCTGCTACTGGATTGGGTGCTGCTTCTCTTCCTGTCTTCATGCAGCAGGTTTCTTTGCAGCAGATATTGTAGGCATTTGTCCCCGGTCACAGGTGGCAGACTGGCTATTCTTGGGGAGCTCATCCTTGATTTCTGTCCCGGGGGAAGGCTGAGGCAAGCCTTTTCCTCAAGTGCAAGGCTGGAGTTCAGATACATGTTGTATTTCTCTTCCAGTTAGCTCTGTGCTCACCTTTGAGTGTTAGCTGCATTTGACTCCATTTTAACTTCTATTTTTAAATGATTCAGGGCTCCTCAGCCTGCAGTCTGTGAATGTTCCATGAACTTGTTCTGTATTGTCATTCTTTTCTTTGCCTCACCTTGCCCAATTCCTGCTGATCACCACCATTGACCAGCCTGCCTGGCCAGCAAACAGAAACCAGACATCAAGGTTTCATTTTAAGACATAAGAAGTATGTCTTAGAAGGTGCCACAACCTGCTCTGTTGGCCTCCAGTCTTTGGGATCTAAGTGTTTGGGGTTCTCTAAAAGATAGCAGTTACAGTGAAGGTCATGGTCCTCCTCCCTGGTGGCTTTCTACTCTTGTTTGGGTGCTTTAGAAGTGGTTCCTAAAGCTGGATTTTTAAAAAATTCAGGATCTGGCCCTCCCTGGTGGCACAGCCGGTTAAAAGCACAGCACTAAGAAGCTAAAGCCACTTCAGCATGAGTTCAAACCCCACCAGCCCCAGAGGTGATCCACATGGTGAGGCAGACCTCTCCTGACCCGCCCGCTGCTCCCCTCAGCAGTGTACTTTGTCAATCTGCCTCTTCTGCTTCCCACTCTGTCTCTGGTGAATCCCCTCACTGCCCCTGCACTTGTGGATACTGTTTCATTTATCTTTTTTATAAAAAAAGATGTATTTATGCATCCAAGAACTGGGGTACAGGCCATAGGCGTGGGTGGGTGTGTGTGTGTGAGAGGATTCACCAGAGACAGGGTGTGGAGAACAGGAAGATGGACTGAAATCCACTGCTGAGGGTAGCAGCAGGCAAGACAGGAGAGGCCTGCTGCGCCATGTGGGTTACCTCCCTGGCTGGGGATCAAACTAGTGCTGCGGATAGCTTCATAGTGCTGTGCTTTAATCCCTTGCGCCACCAGAGAGGCCCTTATTTATCTTTGCATTGTAACTACTTTGACATGGACATTTTCAGTCTGGCTACTGTCAGTGCTTTCAAGCAGGCAATAGCTGGACGTTTTATAGATTTGTTTGAATGGGCCCAACTCTGTGAATGATAAAATCAGGTACCTTACTCTTGACACCGTACATGATGATTAATTTATCTAGGGGCTCTGGAACCTCTTGAGTGTAAAATTGGATGTGAGCATACATATTCCCACATGCCCCAAAGTCCTGACTAAACCCAGGAAGTTTAGGTCAGTTTTGTCTGGAAATGCCCGTGCCTGTCATTCATGGCATGACAGTCTGGTGATGCTCTTTGAGTATGGTCTGGCTGCTGTGCCATCAGACTGTGCCTCCCATCCCTGAGCAGCTTTAGGGAAGGTTGGGAAGATCCTAGATATTTTCCTCATATGTCTTCCTGTCCACTTAGCCAGATATGAGTACACCTTCCTTAAAACTGCACTGCCACGTCAATTCCTGCAAAGCAGTATGACCCCAAGTAGTTTTAGGGACGTGCACAGCTGGAATTCTTTCACCTCATCGGTCTTGCACTTGTCTTGTTACTCCCTTTCTGGCACCCAGATTCCCTTTCACTGTGTTTCCTTTCTTTTGGATTCTCTGCTTAGGCTGGAAGATGAAGGAACAAGAGGGATGTCTGTTACTCTTTGGAATAAGACTTGACTTTCAGCCACTGCCACTTACAAGTGTCTTCATTAAATACCCTCCGCTCATTGTAGGAACCCTTGAGGTTCTGACTATGTACCAGAATAGGACAGAGAGCCTGGTAGGAATCTATGAAGCCATCTCTGGGAACTTTGCCTTTGAAAAAGCAGTAATTGTGTAGTTTGTCTGGGAGTCCCTTAGCACATACTCTCCAGCACCCTCAAGTGCCTGTCAGCCAGGTGCCTACCAGCGCTGTCTGTGGCAAAGAAGTGGACACAGGAGCAAGCACAAAGACAGTGCAGGAAGGACATTTGAGGCTGGGGTTCATGCTTGGGTTGAAAGAAACTTGGAAAGTCATAGAATGCGAAGGTAGAGCCCAAATTAGGTAAATCAACAAGAACGTGTTGTACACCTGTTGTGTCTTGTACTTAAGTGTGCCGGAACAAAAGAAGCCTTTGGGGCGGCATTATTGCCTGCAAAGCTTTGCGGTCTGGAGCCTCCAGTTTTTGGCCTGCCTCTCTACATCCCTGCCTCTATGTACTTGTTCCTCCTCAGGCTCTCTTGTGTCAGCGTTCCCTCACACCATTTGCTCTCTTCTCTTTGTGTATTTCTCTGCTCGCTTGACTGCCCCCACCTTAAAACAAGGTTTTGTCACCCTTTACCTCTGTTGATGTCTTCAGCCCTAATTACTCTCCAGAGCTCCAGATAGTCAGCCACCTCCAGATACCTCACATAGGTGCAAAGGCCCTCAGGTTCTGTGTGCTCAAAATGTGACATGTGCTTCCGCATGGATGGCACTTAAAAATATGACACATGTCGGCTCTCCCTGGTGGCGCAGCGGGTTAAAGCACAGCACTGAGAAGCCAAAGCCACTTCCGCATGAGTTCGATTCCCGCCTGCCCCAGAGGAGAACAACTCTGGCCTACACTCCAGCTCTCGTATGCATAAATAAAGTACAT